GACCCAGTGTGCTTCGCGCACGTCACAGCCCATTAGCAAATCGACTTCGGGAGAGTCGGCTTCTTCGACACACAAGTCTCGCTGGTGCGGCCAGTGCGTTGCTAATTTTCCCATTGATTCCACTGCTCGCATCGGCAAGTCGGCGATGGTGAAACCTTCCGCCACCTCTACTCATTCCTCATTATCTAGCAAAATCAACGTCACGTTTGCTTGATTGGCGGACATCGCCGTGGTGCCGTTCACCGTGCTGATCGTCAGGGAAGAAGGTAGGGTTTTGATGTTTTTTACAGTGAAGCGTTTGGTGATCAAGGTGGTATCGGATCCATTATCAATGAACGCCATCGTCTTCACCACCCCACTGGGTGTTAATATGCCCACTGCTTTTACCCCGAGACGCACCTGCTTGTCCGCCGATTGAGACAGTAGACTTACACTGGGTTTTTGGGGTGCCGATAACTGGGTTTCTCCTACAGAATGCAAGAGAATATGGTGGCTTGCTTGATACCCCGTTTTCCTGCATCTGCTACGGTTACTACAAGCGGCCGCACGATGTGAGCCGTTCAAACAGATAAAGTACGCACCATGTCTCTTGGCTGCTTCCCAACGGTCCGGAACTTCCAGTTGCGCAAACTTCTCGCACACGGATAACTCGTGATTCAAACGACACATGGGGCATCAGGGTGTGCCACATTCCCCTACTGTCGTATAGTTATTCGCTTTCCTAGAACCTCTCGGGATCTCATAGGTTCATTCTTCGGTGTGACGTCTCTCTTCTTGCCTACTCGTGCTGGAGAGTTGTCCGAAGCAACTGCTGGCGACTTTGGCACGTTTTCGGATGTATTCCGTTATCTCGGTGAAGTTCGGTTCTCTTCCTAAACGCCCAATAGTCACCACCTCCTCCGCCCATCGCTGCTATTTGTATATCGGCAGGCATCGTACTATTGCCTCTAGAGTGTGTAGTGCGTTCAAATCAGCTTCGTAATTCATTTGAGTCAGGGCAATGGAACAATCTTGCATCTTCATTAACAGTCGTACTAACGATTCGGGTTCGCTTCTCGCTTTACGTGCCTCGGCCAGCACCCCGTCTACGAGCTTCCGTGCCACGTGAAACGGTTGGCCAAACAGTTCCTTCAGAATGTCCTTTGCTCGGTTATATCCAATTTCGTTTGGCAGCATTACACATTCTTCAATAGCGTCTCGCGCCTTTCCGCGGCAGTTATGCTTTAGATACAGAAATTTCTGCCCTGGATCGGCGAACCGACATTCGACGGAACTATTTAATTCTCTAATAAATCTCCAATAGTTGCTGCGGTTCCCGTCGAATGGAGTTAGCTCCATCTTGGCCAGGTCTATCGCCATTCGGCGGTACATTACTTCAACTGGTGGTTGAGCCACTCCCGACGTCAGTTTAATGGACAGGGTTTGTTTTTCCGTCGCGATGTGCTTAATCGAGCAAGGTTGCCTAGCCTGTTTCCGTAAGCGTCGTTGACCTAATCTCTTGCTCGAACTAAACGATCTTACGGAGATATATATCAGATATCTTATTATCGGCATCACAATCTAGGGCACATGAACTCCTAGCACTAACAGGACTAACTAAAATATAAATGTGAGAATCAGAAGTCGCGCCGCCCAAATCCCCAGTGACCTGCCGAGTTACTTCCTGTCCTTCCTCCTCGATCCTTCATTGTGCGAACGACATTTTCTTGTTCCCAATTGTGCGAATTTGAGTACTGTACATACCGAAGAGATCAACGAGTAACGCGTACTTGAAATCAGTTCGTAAAACGTCAATAAACTGAAGGATCCAGCACGTTTCTACGGTACTGAATCCAAAAATGATCAAATAACCAAATAAAAGCTGTACAAACCTCAAAGTGATCTTGAAGCAGTTTGAAAACAAGAGCCAAGTGTTACCGTGAGCGTAATTCAACAAATATGAACGGAAGAAAATGAGTCTGGACAAAAAAGCACGCTCATTGACACGCTGCACACGAACGAACGAAGTGTGAGCGCTCAGGTCGCGACTAAAACAAGTAGAGTACGAATGAGTCAGATAAACAAACAAAGTCAAAAGATGGGATCGATGTGTAAATATACAAAGGAAGTGGAATGTCAAATCTTCATGTATGTTTTGAATAAATGGAACGTGAAGTTCACGAACTGTGGAATCGAAATAGCTTGACTGGGCATTACAGGAAGGATTTTCACTGATCGATCAATACGGTGTTCACAAGCGATGTACCCCAAGGATCTGTACTTGAACCACTGCTATTCCTGCTCTACAGTAATGACCTAGAACAGGATCTTCAAAATCCCTGTTTTCTGTTTGCGAATGACGTCAAGATAGCTGGATGAGATCTAGCAAGATGGGCCGAACAATGGAACCTACCACTAAATATCTCGAAATGTCAGATACTGGCGCACAGAACTGACAAAAAGATAGCAAGGAACTTGTCGATACAAAGGGTGTACGCGTCAAAGGATCTACGCATAGTGGTAGCGCGGGATTTCAAACCCAGCACCCAACGTGTGAAGGCCGTAAACAAAGCTAAGGGACAACCATTTCGTCTATGCGCAACCATGATGTGCAGAAAACCCGAGGTCTTTATTCCCCTATACAAATGCACCGTCCGCTCGCACAGGGAATATTGTGTACAGGCTTGTGCTCTATTCTTTCTAAAGTACATCGATACCTTAGAGTAGGTTTAATGTCTGGCCACGATGATGATAGCTGGGCAACGGGGGAAAAGCTAAAACCTTACCACTAAGAACGTGATGCTGCACCACATTATTCTGCCTTTCAAACAGATTGCATATCGAAGTGTTCAAGCCAAGGAAACACGTCAACAACACACGAATCTGGGCGCTCGATTGGCAACAGCCGCAAATCTTCCTGTGAGATCTGAGCTAAACTGAACTGAGGTGAACTTCGCTGTTCCTGCCTTTATATTTGTGGATGGCTTAAAACTATTGAACTCAGAACTAGTAGATCAACTAGAAGCGGATCTAACAAATGTTGTCCGATGAACACAGAATTGGGACTTGGAGCTAAACTGTAGAAATTGTAGTATGCACTGATCACGAAATATGAATCACAGATTCGAAATCACGGCCCCATGTAAGCACTCGATCACACTGACACTAGCTTGACAGTACCATACGTAACCGAGACGCCAGAAAATGGCTGCAGGAACAGCAGTTTATCTATGGAAAGATATCTGGGGGATGAAGTAATATGTACAAAACAAGTAAATTGGTCACCCAAGCCTCTGAAAATCACGTGCTATTATTTCTGGTGTTGTTCAGCTTATGTCCGATCTGCATGGTTTCTAATTGATTGGTACCATAGACTATGGTTTGTAGTCCAGAAGCAAGGGCTTGTACGCTATTTGATGATGTCACCGGGGAAGCTTCATTCATTACAGTTGTCCGGAAACTGTAGCTTGTCGCTCCGTAGTATGCGTCATCTCGTAGGCTAGGATCACCACATAAACGCTACTAATTGTCATATTCTAAACTCCGTAGGGCTTCTGGTGCGAGTGGCTGAGACCATGGGAACGACTATCAATACTCGGGTAGGCCAAATATTGGAAGATGTTTTGGTTCACGAGGACTTCAAGCCAAGTGATCAGTGCCTGGCTGCCGTGAAAACACAACGGAGAAACCATTCCAGCAAAAGGCGGCTCAATTGGCGATAAAGGTGGAGGTTTTCGTGCCTCTTTATGAGGCCATAGTTAGACCACAGTAAGAATACTGTGTGCAAGCTTGGGCGCCTTACTTGCATAGAGCAACAGTTGACCGCTAAGAAGATAGCTGAAAACAGGGGATAAATCTTATAAAGACAGGATGGAAACCCCAGGGCTTTTCTCTATAGAGAGGAGACGCCCGATAGGCGACCTTATTCAGACCTTTAAAATAATTAAGGGGCTAACAGTGCTAGACGTGGACAGCCTGTTTCATCGAGCACCGTTCGAGTCAACAAGGAGGGGGCATCATTTGAAGCTAATGAAGCCCATGAGCCGACTCACACTTAGACACAACTTCTTCACGAACAGAGTGATAGATGAGTAAAATGAAATACCATCTTCACTTCTGGACTGGGGGACAGCCGAAGAGTTCAAATGGCAATCAGATGGGAACTGGGTTAGTCCCTATCCAGAAATTTTGTAGGTTGCCTATTGTTGGCAGTAGGTGTTCCTATTTTCGTACTTCGTATTTTCAAATAACCTATCTTTGCAGACACGGACTCAAAAAGGTAGGCGGTTCTGGACGAAGAAATCGGCTAAGGTCCAACAATCGACAAGAAGTCGATGTTCCAGCAGAACCTTGGTTCCGGCTGGAGCAAGAATCTGGACGCTTAGTTGGTGAAAGCCTTTACCGTTCTGTGCAACCTGACATGACCTGACTCCAGGATCTGGGGCGTTGCTCCTCGGAGAAGAAAAAACTCCGAAAGGACCTGATCAAGACATTTCAGATAATCGTACTCAGTTGAGGGTGGCCATTTTCAATTATTTCCGTGATGGGTTGAATCAAGCTGGAAAACATTATTTGTTTTAATCAATCATTTAAATTGCACTAAAACATACAGCTTTTTGAAAATGCAATTATGAATTCGCGTATAATGTGAGATTGAATCGGATTATGCATCGGTCAATTTTGTTGTTATTCTTAGTCTATTTCTTGAGCGCGGAAGGTGAGAATCTGACATTTTTGTAGATTTTTCTTTTAGGTTATGGCAGGGACCTGACAGATGTGATTTTCGAACCCACCAATTCCGTTTTCACTCTGGATTTGAATAGCTCAGTGGGAAGCATCAATACTCTGTATTTTGCAACGGCGAGTAGCGTTGACATTTATTCTTTACACAGCAATTTGGGAATTTTTCAAAAGCGCCTTAGTTTTACGGGAGACAAAGAAGTACCATCTGATACGCTTCAGGCATCGGTTCACGTGTTTAACACCGAAGTTGATGAAAAATCGAAATCTATTCATTTTGTTTGTCATCTGTTGTTACCAAGAGTCTCTCAGAAACCGACGTCGTTATCAGATTCAATATGTTGTGTGATTTCTTTGAACACTTCATTCTCGCATGAGTTCACATCCTGTGTTCTGGATACTGTAGATGAAAATTCTGTGTCTGTGTGCCACGCTCATGCTCGACTACCGACTGTGCTTTGGAAACAAAAAAATTCTCCAGTGATTTCTTTGTCATATACTCTGTTTAAACAGAATCCGAATGTGTATAGGTTTAAAAAGGATAACGAATGTCATATAACTAACAGTGTCCAACCTCCAGTGTTTCATCTACTTCCAACAGCAACTGTTGTTCGTTCAGTTCCCGATGCAATACGTGAACTTGGAAGAAGTCTTTTACTTCAGATTCCTCGTCGAGAACTAAGGACTAACGAAGAATTTATTGTTCCAGTTAGACTTAAGCGTGGGGACGATGTATCAGATTTTACGCTACGGTGAGTCATCTGGTGTTTTACTCACTTCCAAATCTAACGTACAACAAATCTTTTAATTTCATTACAATCATTGTTTAATAATGCGCATAGTAAAACTCAAAAAGTCATTTCCAAATCCGTTATATTTCGTGAAATTATGTATCGATTGTTGCGAATGATTAATATATCATTTTGATATGTTTAATTTGATTTGGACAA